TTTCTTTTCTCTTTACTTTTTGCACATCTTTTCGTAATTAGCCAAAAAGTCATCCCAAACATACTAGTTTTTTTTAGCTTATATTTTAGCCAAATAGCCAAAAAGTTACTAAATTAGTCAAAAAGCCAACAACCCATACCAAAAAGTCAAAGATTCTCTTTTTTCTCTACTTATTGCACATATTTTGGTAAAAAGCCAAAAAGTCATCCCAAACATACTAGTTTTTTTTAGCTTATATTTTAGCCAAATAGCCAAAAAGTTACTAAATTAGTCAGTTCCCAAATGAGGCCTTAGTCCGATTACATCACATTTTCATGATTCACTCATATAGGCAACACTTGAATGGTTTTTCTTGTGCAGGTAATTATGACCCCAAATTTGGCCTCCATTGTAGTATTTGAGTTTTCCGATCATGAATAATTGTGGTATGTCTGAGCAACTGGTAAATGTGTCAAACTGCTTTCCGTCAAGTCTATCGGTCCATCAAGATATGGTCAGACATGTTTCCCTTAAAAACTTCCAGCGAGCAGGATGTCTACTCCTGAACAGTCAAGCAATAATGCACCTGTGGTATAATAATCTACAAATGCTCGTCATTGTAATTGGGAAGCTGCTATTCTACTCCCACCCTTGATTGCTATCGGTTAACCAAGCCTGCATCAAAGGCTGTAAGCTAAGAATCACGGACACTTCTAAGAAGGTGGTGTGTCTATGTCCAAATGTGCCCTTTTTAAAAATGATTTAGACCCAAACAGTTTTCAGACACTTGGGAAACACTCATGTCTATTGCTTAGACTTACATAAAACTAATTTTTGGAAGTTTGAACAAAAATAAATTAGTATACAATGATGAAAGAAAAATAATGTAGATGTATAGGAATTAGTGATATGTTCTATTTTTTTTAATTATATTTGAATGATATATATGAACTATATGTTGTGTGTCTCTCTCATGTGTCATGTCGTGCAGTTGTGAAAATTGTGGTTTTGCGTGTCCATGTCGGTGCTTCTTAAGATGAAAGACTTAACCTTTTAGTAAAAGTAACGTGAAGCCAAGATAGAATTGTTGAGTAACATTTTATGGCAGGTTGTCTATGCTGAAGACATTGTGTAACATTCTATTTCATTTTATCAGGAATGTTATTGTGGAAAACAAGAAAAGGAGAAGTTTCTGGTGACAACAAACCTACTGTCAGAACTTTTTCCTAACAAAATTACTATTGACATGCCTAAGGTGCCTAGTGTGATTTTCTGGTTGTTATTCATTCACCATGTATTTTTCCACAGTATCTAACGATAGGCTTGCAAAATGATGCAGGATGAGACGCATAAAGCTGTCCTGAAGCGTCAATTTGCTAACGACTTTGAATTCCTCAAGAGCAGAGGAAAACTTTATGTGCCTTAGCAATGTAAAAAACTACAAGCCATTATAGTTTGTAATATTTCGTTTTTATGATACTGGCTTTATGTGTGGTTTTAATACTGCTCAAGAAAAGCTAAAGATACCCATTTTAATCCGATGTATGTAGAGCAGTATGGCTTCTGGCTTGCCTCATTTGTATGAACCTTTATTTAGTAATATAATTTTGTTTTTTTGCTTATACCAGAAGGTAGTTGGCTTTGTTCTGTAGGTTCCAGTACCTATTTCTTGTGATCAGTTGTTCGTTCTTTCTTTTTCACAAAACTGCACTTCGTGTATTTTGATTTTGATTATAGTTGAAAGCTTTTTCAATAAGTTATTCTTATAGTCGATTATGTATCAATTCGTCTTAGTTTGTAATGCATATCAACTAAAATTTACCAATTTGTGTGTGTGTTTTATCCTTTTTGGACCTTCTTTCGGTGGTTGAAAAATTGTATAAATGTGAGTTTCACATTATCTTTCATATATACAAAAGTGATGGGAAAAAGGAGCCTCTCCACCATAAGTTTCTCATTTGGGATCAACTACACATTTACTTTTGAAGTTTTTTTCACCTACTTTGGAGTTGCATTGCGAGGTACTACGGACGATAGGTGATGATCCAAAGCAATTGAAACAAAATGAGAAATACTTTTAATCAATATGATGCATGTAACTATTATATGCATACTGTTTATTGGTTTCCACTTCTTTTTGAAAAAATAAAAAATAAAAAATTAAGGAGCCATTTAAATTAGGAAGAGTTTCTCAGAAGCTTTTGACATCCATCACACAGTATTATTTGTCTCATTACTTTGTATGGGAACAACTGTTAGCAGTAGAATGTCAAACATCTCAGTTTCAGTTAGTTTTGGGTATTCTTGCAAAAAGGAAAAATGTATCAATGAAAGCTTATTTTGGTGGTTTGCATCACAATTTGTTATTAAAGGAACGTAGTTTTTTTTGAAATTAATCAACCATTCCATGCTGAGAGAGCAGGATTAAAAAATTCTCTAGACTACTAATGTTAAAAGCTGAAGCTGACTATTGAGTGCAACATATAAATACATTTTTCATAACAAACAGGTTTTGATCCGAAATGTCCCGGACTGCGATGAACTTGGGACATTAAGCATTGTGGATCAAACACTTACAATTGAAAGTATGTCATCTTTCCATCGTTTTTGAAATTACGATGACTCATCGATGAATTAATTTGATTTTTTTTTTTTCATTAATTCATTTATGTTCCCTGTGTGTTCATTAATTGCATGATGCTGGTTGCAGGTGCTGAAAAGGTAATTAAATGGGCTCTTGGCTACCAGTTAATGGAGTGTCCGCAAAATAATGCTAACTCAATGCATGTTTTGTCTGCAAAAAGGTATGAAACATCTTCCGTGGCTGGCACTATGTTACTGTCAGTTAAAATATAAATCATAAGAATGATGCAGCTGTGAATTCTATTCCATATTGTAATTCTGGCAGCATCCAATATGGCCTTGATGCTTTACGGGAAACCCAGACAGACCTGAACAGCTCAGAGAAGTCGCTCAAGGTGAATTCTTGTATTTTCTATATATAATTTCTGATATTTCCATTTTCTTTTTGTAATCAAATCACATGGTGATTGATACATAATTTTACGCTTCTTTCTTTCTTGGTTGAAAGGCATTAAAATTTTAAGTGATTATGCTGACCAACCTCAGGATGTTGTAAAGGAGAATGAATTCGAGAAAAGACTCCTAGCTGATGTTATTCCACCTAATGAAATTGGAGTGAAGTTTGATGATGTTGGAGTTCTCGAAAATGTGAAGGACACGCTGAGGGAGTTGGTGATGCTTCCTTTACAAAGGCCCGAATTGTTCAGTAAGGGGCAGCTACGGAAGGTGTGCCCATTTTCTACTTTCTGCATCAAACATGCTTGTGCCTTTGAAGAATAATTATTGGAATTAAATAAGAGATATATGGTAAACATGTATTGCATTGGAACTATGCTATTGGAATGATTATTGAAATGTTTTAAAATACAGAAACACTTGTTACACCGTAGGGTGTATGAGAACACTATTGAATAACTTAATATACATTGTTGGGCCATTTCCGAACAACTTAAACTTTTGTGATAATTGGGTAACTTAATATGGTATCAAAGCTTAGGATGGGAAAAGTCTTGGATTCAAGTCTCCAAATTTGCATTTGGTCCTCGTTTGCTTTCTTTCTTCTCTCTATGTATGGATGTGAAGTTGCACGTGAGGGAATAATTTGTTATATGTTGTTGGGTCCATTTCTAATAGCTTAAGCTTTTGGGGTAATAATTGGTTACCTAACAAAGAAAACTAGGGCACTTCAGTTATCAGCCACTTCCGAAGTCCTACGAATGGAGGGTAGACGAATCTGACTCAGAAACACTAGGTGGTGTTTGGGAAGAATTTTAGTTGGGTTTTTTCTCATTTTTTTCACTAAAAGACAAAAATTTTGCAAAACCAAAAAAAACACATCCAAACAAAATATCACATCCAACCCCATAACCATTTCACTTTTTCTCTCACAAACATCACATCCAACCACAAAAAAACTCAACTATCTTTCCAAACACAAAAAAAAAAAAAATCTTCAATAATATCCTATATCTAAAAAAACCTACATAAAAATCCACTTCCCAAACACCATCTACATCAACCCAAGTCCGTGTAACATAGACAATAAGCATTATGTCATATATATTTCCTTTGTTACACAATGAGCATTATGTTGTATATCCTTCCCTTGTTATCACTGTGCTTTTGTAGGTTCATGGCTCTGGCTCTACTTATCATAGTGGAAAATTTGATTGTCATGTTGTTGATAATAGTTACATAAAATTTAAGTAACTTATTTTTATCCCCAGCTTTCCGAGGGAATACTTCTGTTTGGACCCCCTGGAACAGGAAGGACCATGCCTGCAAAGGCTGTAGCCATTGAAGCAGGAGCAAATTTCATCAATAGCTCAATGTCCAGCATCGCTTCGAAGGTTATATATATATATATATATATATTGTTAACTGGTTATCTATTTCGATGACTAGGCTCTTAACATTTAAACTCTTTGTTTTCATAGTGGTACGGCGACCCTGAGAAATATGTGAGGGCAGTTTTCTCTCTAGCCAGTAAAATTGCTTCTAGTGTTATATTTATTGATGAGGTGATCCTTAAAATATCTACTAATTATTTACAATACAGCATTTTGGTTGTTTCTATATTTTTACTGTGTACACTTCTTCCGTATAGGTTGATAGCATGTTGGGACAGCGAAGAAATCAAGAGCATGAAGCCACACGTAAGATTAAAAATGAGTTTATGGTGAATTGGGATGGCTTGCGCACAAAAGATGAAGAAAGGGTGTTGGTAGGTACTTGCAGCCACAAACAGACCTTTCGATCTTGATGAGGCTGTTATTAGAAGGATGCCACGATGGTAAACTTAGAAAAATCTTGACACTGTATTATTCAACATCTTTGATTGCAAAATTGGAAGCTTATGGAATTTTTAATATTTCTGCAGATTGATGGTAAACTTACCAGATGCTCCAAATAGATCTAAAATTCTAAAACTAGTATCGGCAAAGGAAGAATTGCCGCCTGATGTTGACTTTGATGCAATTGCGGGAATGACAGATGGGTTTTCCGGACGTGATCTCAAGGTTTTTCCTTGCCTTTCTCATCAAAGTGCTTTGTCTCTTAATATATGCAGAGTAAGTAATTACTCTGCATTGGCAAAATTTTTAATTTCTGTATTATATTGCAGAAACTTTGTGTCACTGCTGCATACGGTCCGTTAGAGAGATATTGGAGAAGGAAAGGAAGGTATAGTGTTTCCTCTTAATTTCATTAAATAACATACATAGTTTGTGATTTATGGCCATCGTTCTGAATCTTCATGACTTACCTTTTGTCAAACATTTTAAAATATGTTTTTCTCTATCTAGGAAAAATAAAAATGTTTGTATGGCTTCATGAATCATCTGCAATCTCTTCTCATCACACTTCAATTCTTCAACTTTAAAACAAAAGTTTCATTTGCAACAAACGCATATCGGAACAGGTTTACTGATCACTTGTACACCTTGAGCTTTTGACAGAAGAAGGCTGTGATGAATGAGAGTTCAGACATTCGGCCAATAAATATGAACGACTTCAAGTATGCCCGAGAACAGGTACAAGAACCTACAAGCAAAAGATAACCTCTCTTCATCTTTTGTTCTCATGTGATTGCTTCATAATGTCTTTTTTGTTTTTGGTTCTCCTTCCAACTCTACCAATTCATGGTAACAGGTCAGTGCTAGTATGTTAACTAAGTCTATGAACATGAATGGGCTACTACAATGGAATGAGCTATACGGTGAAGGAGGTTTTCGAAAGAAGACAAGTCCGAGCTACTACATATAAAGGGCTTCTCTCTCTCTCTCTCTCATACCGAATACTTTATTCTAGCATATATAGTTTTCTCTAGAATGCGGTGTTTTGTGTTTTGCTTTGTTATAGGCTGATGAATCATGAATTTTTCATGCGTCTTTGGAATTGTCAATGCTCATTTGTTCAATCAAAAGATTATTGACCAAAAGACAGGGAGTTAACTAAATCAAAAGAATATCACATTAGCTTTCATTGTAAAATGCGAATTTCTCAAACACATTAGTTCAAATATAAACAATTGAATGAAATGTATATTTAAACAATTTATTTTTTTTAACTTTAAATCCAAACATTTTACTTTTGTTCGGAACTTTATATCCGAACACCATGTGTGATGCGTACTGAGAGTTGTACGGTGTGCAGATAGATTACCCGAAAAGAAATAAATAAATAAAAACAGAGACCTCAAATCATGACTGGTTGGTTGACATCAACAGCAAATTATTCATACTTTTGAATGTTTACTAGAGAGATGATCTCAAACATGTGTATTATGTATATATTAAATTCTATGGCTTTATGTACGTACCTCCTTGAAACACAGTAAGCAGTCTGATTTAAAGGAGAAGAAATGTGAATGCATGCAATAGAATAACAAGCACAACTGAGAAAACAGTGCAGCCAACTAGCTATAATCAGATCCCATTCAAATGCAGATTGATCTGCACTTTCAGCTCTCTGTATATGGGACTAAATCCATATCAAGGTATTGACCCATCCATTACTAGATCGTAATCTCTACATTTCAACGACAAAGGATCAGTCATCAGTGCCAAAGTACCGATCACCAAACTCTCCCATACCTGGTATGACACGGAATTCTTCATTCAATGCTACATCAATCTCCGAGGTGACAATTTTCAAGGATGGGAACCGCTTGCAAACACAATGTATTCCCTCGGGGGCCTAGATGCAATATAACACAGGAATCAGTGCATAACTATTTTTTTTTTATAAACTTGAAACCAGCAGAGCAGAAATTACTCACAGAAATGAGATTTAGAAATATTATGTGGGATTCTGGAACTCCTTTCTGTATCAGTAGCTCGATGGCTTGGTTAGCAGAGTTACCTTCAAAGAAGCCATTATGGTTTGTTAGGTCACAGAAATGCAGAAAGATAGAAACGAGACAACCAAGCCCATTTTGCACTACATATATTGGAAGATATGCAAAAGAGACAACCAAACTGGAGAAGCAAAAAAATGAACAAGTTTGATTAGTAACCTGTAGCAAGAACTGGATCGAGAAGCAAGACATGCCTTTCCGAAATATCCTTGGGAAACTTTTCATATATAAGCTGGTTAAGAGATGACAAACTGTTATAAATCGATCATATGATCCTTATATGGGAAAGCAAGTCCCCGAGGAAGGGGGCAAATAATACTTTTTTTGTTTGAAAAAAAGGGGGCGGGACAGGGAAAACCACCTGCTCCCCATTGTCACCATCACGGTGGATCAGAATTTTTCCAATTTTTATTCCTTTGTAACAAGCACGCAATGCGTTCTCCATACTTTCACCACTGTCAAGACATTTATGCAATATAACCAGTTACCCAATGATAAATCACCCAATTAGGTGGGGTCAGATACCTGAATCCCAGTACCATTGGCAAGAAAATTGGCTCCCCGTAAGATCTTTCTTTCCCATTTTCATAAGCAATTTAAATAAAATTCTTTCCAAAAGCAGAAGTGCACCTCTATTAATACCTGATTTAATTCTTACCTTCGAATGATGGAAACTCCACACAATTTCTTGCAAAAGTCAACCCCAGTATACATTGACCCTGCATTAGTATGCCAACAAATCAACAACATTTCTATTTTTGTGTAGACAATCTAAGAAACAACATTTTGCAGTCTTTCAAAACAAAGACACATCTAGACCTCCGTTTTTTTCTTTTTTCTTTTTTAATAGACAGCAATGCACTTTTTATTCATGTCCTAGAAACAAACACGAACAAGAAACAATAGGAATCTATCTGTTAACAAAGAGCTGAAGATGTCAGGAAATGTCAATTTCAGTTATCACAGAAGACTACATTACTATTAAGCAAAAGAAAATGCAAATTGAGTAAGAAGAGTAAAAATGAACTAGATAAAATATTTCATATTCATTCTACCATCATCACATTCTAAAAGGACAGCATCATCATTGTCATCAGTCATTAATCTGCAAAAGCTAATGCCAACAATTTGGTGCTAGTTTACAAATCCTGTTATATCCTACCCAAAGCCAACACACACACACACACACACAAAATAAAAGGTATATAAGGTTCTCCTCAGTTTACATTCAAATAGCTTAAGGAAAACTTAAGATCAAAGGAAGTACTCCAATTATTTCCAAATTTCATGAGTGAAGATAGGGAGATGGGAAAAAAAGAAAGAAAACAGAAAGAGTTGAATTTGAGTTCAAGCCATGTCACATATTTTTCTCTTAAAACACACCTGTTGGAGTAACTACTTGTTTCTCAGTAAATGGTAAATGGCCAAGGCCATGCTCCACAACCTGAAAGTCAAAATCAATACAAGCAATGATAATATCTTTGTTCTTTTGATCTTGGGTAAATCAATGATTTTGAAAAAGCTAAATAGTTGAAAGTACCAAACGAATAAGCCGATCCGAATAAAATACAAAATCATGCTTTGATATACCACAATCTCGAATCAGTGTATGCATTCCTCTTATCTGCAATATAGGTCTCCAGAATAAGCATAACTAAAACTCAAAGCTACAAAAAAAGAATGAATTCGAATTGGAATCACAAGGAAATAGAAAAAATATTAAGAATATTATGTAGATGTGAAAGACCTATTTTCACCTGTAATCTAGTGCTAACACATTGGCTTTGTTGGTGTTATTGTTGTTTGACCCTAAGTTAATTTACATAATGACCCAGCATCCCAGAAGTAAAAACCACAATAATGTTACTATAATCAACCATAAGAGGTCCTCTCAATCCTTCACAGTTAATTAGCTGTAGCTCAACCTTGATGCCATTCTCCGTATCTATCCAGGATGATGCCTTTTCCTTGGTCCTATTTTTCCCTCTCAGAAGTTGGTCTAGTTCAATAATCAATGATAATTAAGCATCAGGAGGATTTTAGGACCATGAGAAAGATTGTCACACCAACCCTCCCGGAACCACAAATAAAAAAAGAAGGGAAACTTCCCAATGAGTCCCTACTTTTCAAGTGAAGTTTCCATCAAGTCCTATTAACACATGCACTAGCCCTCTCAGCATACAGTTAATAGGACTCAATAGAAACTTAATGGAGAAAGTAGAACTTATTTGATATTTTCCCAAAATATAAAGTTTGATTTACACTGATCTACCCCGAGGTTTCTGACAAATATACATTAGACTTTGGGATTTACATCCCGCACATTGTTGTTTCCAAATCACATTATAAATTCACCACGGGCAAGGACCACTTGCACACTTGCCAGAATTTTTTCCCTCACCACCAACAATTTGTCGAGGACCACCAAGCCACCCCTAATGGAGGGTGATAAGGAGAAGAGAGATATTTAGTTGGCATTTTGACTTGGGTGTTGGGTCATGCTATTCAGGCAGATTAACTTTCTGAATACACTCTGAAATTATGTCTATCCACTAATATACATTGCAGGTAATTTCAAAAGACTACTTCCCATAGGACACATAAGTCGGCCCACTCGGTCAGATGACTTAGAGTGATTAGCATTTTTTTTTCCTGTTAACAGCATTTATTGACAACCTTCGATAGGAGAGGCCAGTGTAATTTCCAAAACCATAGGCAAAAGGTATTAGTCAGGAACCTCAAGGAGAAATGAGAACATTGTTGCTCAGTGAGGCAAGCTAAGGCCAAATGAGAAATGCAAAACAGGGGAAAATTAAGAAGAAACATAAAGATGTACCTGGAATGTTGACTGAATAACATAAACATTGGGATATATTTTGCAGAGATCATGCTGACCAAGTTTTGTGCGGATATCTTGGACAATTAAATCAATGGCGACATGATTATCACCTCCCCGGGGTATGATAACATCAGCATATTTTTTTGATGGCAGGACAAAATCATCAAAAGCAGGTTTCACAAACTTTGCATACTGCACAATCAAAATGGCACTTGCAAGGTTTGTTATCTCATTATAAGGAAGTCAAGAATTTAAATAAGACTGGTGGCATCACACAATTACTATTCCTAAAGTAGCAAGAATAATATTAATGAAGAATTAGAACCAGATGAGAAGATGCTTTCTTAGTCAAATCCAGACAAAAACATAATCTCTGTGCTGAGCTGATTGTATTGTAACTGACAAATTTCTACTCTCTCGTAAACTCCCATGACAGCAGTTCTCCAAGCCCCAAACTAGTTATTATTCCTTTTCCTCCATAAAATCCTCTGGTAAACTTAATAATAATAATTAAAAAAAATAAAAATCCTCTGGTAGATTCCACATAAGCATTTTTGTGTAGCATTAATTGAGAGTTACACCAACATAATGCAAAACTCGTCCATTAAAGTATCTGCTTCAGACAGCAAGCAAGCAAGGTACAACACATCAACTAAATTATATCATGCAAAAGATTTGCAGGCAAGCTTAGTTTTGGTGAATGGCTCTGCTTCTGTTTCTTTGCATATTCCCAGTATATAAAGATTCTGCCACTTTTGGCACCTTTAACAAATACTTTATTTACCAATAAAGGAAAAGAAAAATCATGTATAAGATTGAACTCTTGAACCAAGTATTTGTGACTGGCTACATGTATCTTCTCTGACATTTAATTCTACCTAGTGTATCAAGAACACATTATAAACACTCATAGGTGGAGAAAGAATCAGTTCCTACCCCTTTCCTCCAATATAAAGATATTTGAACTTGTAGTCCCGATGCATTGTCGGGAATTCTGAGCCCATGTGCACACCCTAGTAGTGTTTAAAATATGCTATATGGATTTATTGTGTCTCATGTTCCCTAGCCTAGCCACCCATCTTGGTAAATGGTTTCAGAGTATTTAACCATAAAGTGTAGACCAAATTGTCTATCTTATACACTGTCCTACCTGCTCTCGTTTACAACTAAGTTTTGTAGAAAATGCATCAATTACCTCTATTTGGCTGATTTTTCAGAAGTTATTTTCTGAATAAAAATTCAAAAACTAGTTTGGTGAAAAATGAAAAAAAAAAAAAAAGATTAACAACACTCATTATTTTCATTTGGTTCTCTTTTTTGGAATGGAAATAATTTTTGAAAATTCAAAAATATTTTTTTGGCGATTATTTTTGTCACACAAGTTTCTAGTTTTTCAATTTAAAAAAAAAAAAAATAGAAAACAAGTTACTCAACCAAACAGAGCCGACCCATCCAAGCATTGTAGCCAAAACTGCATAACCTTCAACTTACAAATTCAGCATATCATATAAAGTGGAACGTACAAAAAAAGGGGACTACATCCATAAAGTCCCAGCTAACATCATCATCCTAAAATAATAATCACAACAACAATAACACAGTAATACTATATGCATTGCAATTATTAGTTTCAATTTTTAATCAACAAATAAATAAGTCGAAAAAACGGAAGACAGAGTGTTGATGGAGAGTCTCTCATAATGACCAGCAGCTTCCTCAAAAGGTTTCGCAAAAATTAGCTACTCCTTGGAAATTGAATGCCAGTAGCATTTTTGTTTTCATCAAATGAAGAAAGCAAAACACTTTAGACAATTGAGGAAGCGGCATAACCCTGGTTTAGGTGAATAATAAATTTTCAGCAGAATCCTAAATTTGGCAGTACTAAGAAACTTAAATCAGGGCTTCAACCAATAACGGTGAGTAATAACAAGAAAGATGTTAAGGTAAGTAAAAGGGCTTGCCTGTTCAAGCACAGAGTTTAGGTCCCTACCCCTCTCAACTGTATCACGCCTTATTCTACGAGCAAGCCTCACATCAGCATCTATAACAATTGCAATACCAGTCAACAAATAAGATAGCAAGACAAGGAATTAATGGGGAAAAAATTGTGGTAGATATAACAAAGAAATGCCTAAAACATTATAAAAGTATATCATCAATGGGACATGGAACAAATATCAGTGTATTAAAATGGTTACCAGTTAAAACCTAACCATATCTAGCATAGAACATGATAATATTATTATAATATTTACTAAAAAAATTCAAGATAATATATGCAAAACATGAAGATAATATAGAAATACTTGAAATACCATTAGTTAGGAAAAGGATGGTGTCTTACTATGGCAATCAAAAGGCAGCTATCCATGGTTAACATGTGCATAGGAAATACACAAACATATACAAACTGGGCACTGTGTCAACCTAAAAGAGTGAATTACGATCTCATTTACTGAGGCTTGCGTAGCATATTTAACATGACCTCTAAGCATTGAATTAACTACGTTATACAACATTGAAGTGTGATAACACGTGGAGCCCCTTAGGAATTGTGCACAAGTTGAAACAAAGCCTAAAAGCATTGTGTAACCACAATGCCCAGCAAAACAAAGCTGTAATAATAAATTGCTACTTAAATGACAGATTTTACAGGATAATACATGAGCAACAATCAGGGTGAAGGAGTGAGACCTGTGTCAACAAAAATCTTCATATTCATCAAGTTGCGGACACGTGGATCATGGAAAACCAGAATTCCCTCCAAGATGATTACATCAGATGCATTTACCTGACAAAGAATTTTGAACTTGTAGTTCAGAGAAGTTAAAAGGAATATTTATAAATTGAACCCAAGGTTTGCACAAGAACAATAATAGTAATAGCACCAGAACTACCCTGTCAAACATTAAAATCTCTGAATCGGTACACCAATCACCGGGATTGATCGAAAAGAAAGGCAACCAAAGGGAACAATTACTCTCTCTCTCTCTCTCTCTCTCTCTACACAGAAACAAAGAATATTTACAATTCAGACAATGAGCACACTGGTCATCTTGTAAATGGTGAAGATGCCTCCTGAAACATTGGAATCTGAATATATTGTACCTATAGGGCTGTAAATAGGCCTCAAGGGTCATAAAATATTCTTTCCAATAATAAAACTAAAAATAGACTCGATGATTTAACATGAAAACCCTATAAGAAACTCCTCCCACAAGATGAAAACTGCGATCCTAACACCCAAATAATCCACTTAGCAAATCAAACACAGACAAAAGGAATTACAACAATACCCAAGTTCACCTAATTCTGAAATCCTCTACATACTCCACTAGTTCGGCTTGGCTCGGTCAGCCTCCTTCGATTTGTTGGATAACCACAAGGCTCCTCACCTCAATCTTCGTACTTCGACAGCTCCGATTACCCAAACAGTCATGGGTGTCAAGATGATGCAATGTCGTGCAATTCAAAGTGCATGAAGGCTTTTGTTTAAAATGTAGGAGAACGGGGATTAAAAACCAGTCAAATTAGGCTAATTTTTGTTGGGGCAATCGATTCCCAGGAAATCCCTCCTAGTGGAGATCAATCCCCTTCAGTGGCTATCGATCCCTTTGAGTGGGGATTTGATCCCTCAACAATCCCTCATAGGGATTGATCCCCAATCAATCTCCTGTAAATTTTGGATAAATATGTAAATTGAGGTGCGTCATCTATTCTATGGATATATGGTTACGAAGGTCACTACACCAGTGAAGAGTAGATATATAGTTCAAGTTGAAGGAATAAACAAAGTGATGGATAGAACATACCTGCCGGAAACTTTCCGAACACCTGCGATGGTTTTTAAAATCATATATTGGAACCTGTACAGATTGGGTACGTCTGAGTTTCTCAATGCACTCTAGAAACTGCTCAGTGTCAAAAGCATCTACACACGAACAAGCATATAATTAAAAGATTTACACAAATGCTCCCCAGCAAGATGCTACTGAAATCTAGTTGCAGCATATGTTCAGCAAAGCTGGAAGAAAATTACCACCAGAGCTTATTTACAACTGAAATTAAGTAAAGGGCTATATTTAATAATTAGTTTGATTACCGGGATGATCGAAATTATATTCATGCACACATTTTGCTTCTTCAGCTGTCAAACCACGATAAAATGAATCCTACAGATAGCCAAACCAAATATATATCAAGAAATTTGAAAAGGGAAATTTTCTTTAATAAAAGAATGAACCAAGGCAAATTAGTAAGGACTCAAAGCTAACCCTTGATGCAATATTACAGTGATTGAAATTTACTAGTTTCTCCCACAGTCCCTTAATAAACTAATACAAAGAAAATTGAAAAAATAAATAAAATTAAAAAGCAAGAGTCTTTTTATCAAAGTGTTGTTAGTTCTTTCTATTAATAAAAAAATCCAAACCTAAGAAGCACAAATATGGACACAGTGATTTCAAAAAAAAATGGGGACGCGGACATGATGGGGGCACATGCAATAAAAAAAATTATACATTTTTATTTGCTATGTAGATTAATATTACATCTACAAACAATCAAAATTAACAAAAACTAACACTAAACATTGTCATATATGTCTTTTTTATGAATGGCCTATTAACTATTTAAATCTAAGCAAAAAGTAATAAACATTCAACATCCAACATTCATTAAAAGCACTAAAGAGGGGAGGAAACTAGTTGTCATGTCCCCATAAAACAAATTAATTAAATGAAGGGACATAGCAGCTGGTGTGTCCTGTACGTGTCTCTGTGTCTGACACCATTAAGGCACCTATTTTGGAGTGTCGATGCTTAATAGTTCCAAACTAGTACAAGTTATAAATTATTTCCCAATCTAGAGTAGATTTTTCCATATTGTAGACATAATAAAAAATGTACGGTACTCCCAAAAAAAAAAAATTTACGTAAAGCCTCCACTTCGATTAGACGCTTTTAAAGCCTTCCACACTTCATAAAAAATACAGTTGCCATTCCAAATAGTGGCTTTTAAAGCCATCACAAAAAGTTGATGCTTTGTGCTAGCGTGTAAGTAAAAAAAGCATACAATTTAAATGCTGGCTTTATATGGTACAAAATGTCCATATTTAATAGTTCTAATTATTCCTAAAGCCTTTATTCTTTGCCTAGGTTTAAAAGCCTCCATTCTTTGCCTAGATTTTTTTAATATTTTCAGGATGAAACAAAGCCTTTGTTTTGAATGGAGATTTTAAAAGCCTTTACTTTATGTGGAAGCTTAAGTAGATGCTTTCAAAACCTCTAGTCAAAACGAAGGCTTAACATTAAAACTTTAAACTTACTTTCTCCTTATGTGGAGAAACCAACACTACATTGAGAAATAGTTTCCAATCAAAACTAGTTCGGGATTTTTTTTTTTCTTTCTAAGAAGGCAATATTTTGGTCAAAAACTTTAAAAGCACCAATCAACTTCAAAACTCAAGAAAATTGTCAAAAAATCAAAAAGTACATTACATGCACTACCGTAGAAGTTCAAAACAATAAAGCATCAAATTTGAGTGTCAGTTACCTTAAAAGCACCAATCAACACGAACTGCTCAAAACATCTACTAACTTGATATTCTAACATAATAGAAAAAGCATTATAGAACAAGTTTTCGTACCTAAAAATGAAATTGTGTAAATAACAATATCCATATGTTTTCTTTAAAGTAATTACATTTTTACTATTTATTTATGGAAAGCTTAATTTAAGGTACACGACTACACGTTATTTACTCACCTTATGTATTAGTGATGTATTAATGAATACCTTCGATATTATCACTACATATCAAGACAAATTAAGGAATCTTCAATGGTTGATACAAATCCTACAATACATTAGTGGTACTTATATATTGTCGGCATGTCAAATACCGCACCAAATTTCCAGCTAATAAAGACAATGTCACACATTTCTGTTTCTGCCTATGAATATCATAACAACCCTGTAAGAAAGCAATCATGACAGGTGTACACTATAAAAGTCAAATGCATGCAAAAAAAGATTATTCCTTTAATGACGGCTTTGACTTCTATATAAGCACACTCGAGCATGAAGCATGTTTGGTTTACTAACTATTCCATACAGCAAAAGAACAACTCCTATGTCGACAAAATCTCCTTTCTTTGTCTCTTTGTTTGAATTTTCAAAGGATCTTCCTACTCTGCATCTAAACTACAAGTATTGGTTTACTAACAAGGGCCACCTTTCACTCACCCACACTCACACAGAACATCTTGAGCTTGCTAGGGCAACAAGCTTCATTCCACAATCTCCCAAGAGGGTAAGACTTCAAGGGATGGACTCGATTGAACTTGAATCTTACAAAAGACGCCACTCTATGAGGGAAGTCCCCGAGTCGAGTCTTTGCGGGTCGAGTCGAGTCGCGAAAGCCCTCACTTTATTGATGGGACATTTTGATTGCCGGACAAGTGAGTAGTTTAATATCTAACAAAAGGACTAAGCTTAAAGAGGACCATAGACCCAAGAAAAGAAGGTCTTCCATACGGCATCTGTTTGCGAATCCATGATGTAGTGGATACATCTCCGATAAAACAATTTTGATTTTATCCTCGCTTGAAAATAAAAATGATGTTCTTGCTTTGGGAGAAGGAAAAAAAATAAAAATAAATTGCTTACATAGAGTAAGATTTAAAAATATTTAGAGTGTAGCATATTCAACATGCACAATTGGTGACATCAAAGTAATAAAAGGTAAGAAAAGTGTATGCACCAAAATTTAACCACTTGTTAGAGAACAACAATGTCCAACAAACCTGATTCACAAGCACAACGCGATGATCATGAAGTTGTTGAATGATCATGTCACACACTGTCGTCTTACCAGAAGCCGTACCTCCTGAAACTCCTACTCAATTTTCACACCAAAAAAAAAAAACACTTGATCAAATTGAAATTTCTTCTCATTGGAGCCCTAAAACACAGAACTGATAGTTGAAGCAAAAATAGTAAAAAAAAATATTTTAATTGATAAGAAAATCGAAAGAAAGCTTTCAATCTTGCAATTGAATGCGGAGAATTTATATCTGCCAATCAAACAGAGCTTACGGTGAGATCAGAAATCGAAGGAAATGAAAAGGAAAGTGAGAGATTACCGATGACGAAGGGCTGTAGGGTTGAGGAAGATGAAGAAGAAAGAGGAAGCGCCGGCGATCGACCAGAAGAAGGAGAAGAGAGGAGGCCGTCGAGTCGCAAGCCTGAGAACTTTTCATTGCCATCAAATTATTAGAAGATTATGAAATATCTATACCTTAAAATGGTGATTTTTCTGAAAATAAAAATTGACAAGAATTGAGAAAAAAGTATTGCCAAGAAGGTTTTCTCTCTCTAACATGCTATCTTCTTATTTTTGTGCCATGTTCGAATCTTGAATTTGTAAAGCAAAAAGAAAGAAAAATGGAAAATTGGAGGAAAAAAAATTTTGAACTAGATCATTTTTTTCCCTACCTAAAAAAAACAAAGACTATAAACACGTACAACTTAGGACTTAATTTGAAAGATGCAATGCCTTGCTTGTACACAGCATGCTACTAGGGTTCAGTGTCACTGTGACAATCCAATAAAAGAAGCTGAACAACATCACATGAACAAAACTAATGGATCTGAAATGAAAACTTGGTAAGCAGTTTGAGTAACAATACATTAAAACTCCAACCCTTTGCCCCATCAAGTTCGGGGTTCATAACCACATAAAACCATATCTTAATTTAATATGTTAAAATACAAATAAAGATGCAGAAGCAGCAATACAGTCTACAGACTGCATCTCTACTACTAGAAAACACAAAATCTACACTTTTTCCACTATAAGAGAAAACAAAATGAAAAGAACAAGGATGAGATAGAAATAAAGACTTAGGACCCTAATCACTAGAAGATCTATCATCATCATCGTCTTCATGATCTCTAACAACCTTCTCTATGAGCCTCTGCCGAACTCCTTTGAGGACAGCTTCTCTTGATGATGGTTCGCTTCCACTTTGCCCATCATTGAGAACAGGATCAGACTGGCAGAGAACCAAGGCAACACCTAGCAATTTGGAAAAAGTAACAGAGTTGTTAAATCCGAATACACCTAGGGGCCAGAAAACTTGAATAAGATATAAGTCATTTCAGATCAGTTTCTACACTTACAGAAGCATACCTAGTATGATCTCATAAACCCTCAAGGACAACCAACAAAGCTCTTATATGACAAAACAGTGAATTCATCAAGGAATTTGTTAAATCAAAAACAACCCCAAGTATATGTGACTATTATAGTTCCAAGACATGCTCAAGTGCAGAAGATAGAGGGTGAGCTCAGATGAATGGTGAATCTGGTGCCCATACGTGTATATCTGTGCAAGAGCCCTATATCCATAGTGAGGTATAACTTCCATCAATAGAGAAGAAGATGAAAAAGCACCAGCACCCGTATAGCCCAAATAGATTTTTGGATTCACATGCACGCTTATGCATTTATGTTTGATCCTGTTGTTTTTCTGAAGGTTCACTTGATGCACAATAAATCTCATCACAATTAATGATCCATTCTATAGTCCAGAAAACAAAGTATCCAAATAGCTATAAATTTATAACTAACCACTTCAAAATACTTAACATTGAAAAAAATCAACTATAAATTTCCTTTTTCAGATGATCCATACACTTGAAACGCATTAGTCTGATTAGAAACCATACCTTCCCACAACAACTATAATTTGAAAATCATGTCAGACAAATATTTCATCTGCATTCATGTTTCTTATTAAAACAAATTAGAAAACAACGAAAGAGGAGCAAATTCACATGCTTATGCAATTTGGTCTGAAAGCATTTCAAAATTTCTTTTATTGTATAACGATTTTGGAATTCAGAATCTCACTTTTGATGACTGGATATCTACATATAAGCTCATGATAACTACATACACTAACACAAAGATCTAAGAAATTCAGATTCTTAGAGAAACAGCAACTTAATGGCACATTCCAAGGGGCATAGAAAGAACGATAAAAACTATTGAAATTGTTTTAGATATAATAAGATACCTTCAGGAGTACATCTGCGCCCAAAATTATGCAAGCCCACATAATTTGCCTTGACAGCACTATTATTGTACACCAAAAGAGTTGGAAGATTACAATCCGGATAGTTAGGAATGCAGTCAGTAGATATTATTTTAACAAATTTCGTTGCCGGGTATTTTGTTGCCAGCTGTTCCAAGCATTGCAGAAGAAGCCCACATTCTGGGTATCTATAAAAAATTTAAAACAGATGACAACACACACATGGATACGCATTTACAAATGTATAAGAATCCAAAGAGGTATAATAAAAAGAATGGAGCTGTTTAAGAAGTAACAACAATCAATTAGATAAGTAGTGCAACAATGAAACTATCAAATTTCCAGGAATAATTCTTACCCGTCCTTGTACAAAATGACGACGACCCAAACATCTGGTGGAGCCTGGGAAACCTCGCGTACAAAATCAGATCCAGAAATTGGAACCACTGATCCATACCTCTGAACCTTAGCTGCTTGTCTCAATTCTCCCAACCTCTTCTTCCTTTTAATGCACACAATGCAATCAAATTAAGAAATATTCAATTAAAACATACATTTTAAGGCAATAAGAGCATCTCCAATCCTTCACCAATTCTTTCATCAATTTGATGAATAAAGAACAGTGAGCTCCAATCATTTCATCAAACTTGTATCAAATCAAGGAGATGCAAAATTTTCACCAAATCAAGGATGAACTAAATCCTTCACCAAATTTTCAACAGTCATATTATTAGTCAAATTTGATGAAATTTTAACAAGAGTAAGGTTTGGAGATGATTTTCTTTTCATAAATAAATGATTAAAACAGGATAAATTTGGAACTTTATAAAAAGATTTGATGAAAAAAAAAGTAAGGATTGTTGTGTTCCATACCAGATCAAGCATATAACCAAAATTTCACTCAAATTGATGAAGAAGAAGAGTAAGGATTGGAGATGCTCTAATGTGATTTTTTTTTTTTTTTAAAAAAAAAGAAAGAAAGAAAAAAAGAGTTAGGTCCAATTTATGTTGACGCCATGGAACACTTGTCAGGAAATTAGGGCTCCAATTATCTTCAATGAACTGTTACCACGAAGTTCAGGACAATCGTTCAAGGGTTTTGATTAAGCTACCAGAAAAGAAACAAAAAGAAAAAAATTCAACTTTTTCAGGTAAAAAACCAAAATAAACAGCAAAAAGAAACTCAATTTAACTGAGCCAATAAACTGTATGAGTGAAAATAGCTGGGTTTTTTAATTGGGTTTCCTTCGGATTCTTGGGAACCAAGCGCATAATTAGGAGAATCAGAAGACGGAAAATGATACCTGTACTCCTGAAGGAAGCGATCGTCGTCGAGATCGGGATCGTCCTCGAGATCTTCGAGTTGTTCTTCGGTCCTATCATCGATCCAGGCTTTGTCTTTGTGTTTAGAGTCTTCGTCCTCGGCGGGCGTGAAAGATGGGGACTTGAATGCAGGGGGCTTCGGAGGGAGGTTTCCCAATTTTCTCTGAATATCGTCCCATTGAGTCGAAGCTCCTTCCACGTCCTTGTACACGAAGTGATAGTTCGCCATTTTTGAATCTCCGATCAACCCTCTCTCTCTCGAGATCTGCTTCGATGAAGTTCGGTGTGTAATAACGAATTACGGGCATGCAGATAAGTGGGCCAAAGGCCTATAATTATTCGGTCCGTTTACGATCCTGATAAGTGGGCTATAGGCCCACAATTATTCGTCCCCGTTTACGACCAGTTCTTGGTTCATAACCATCCCACTCAGGGCATAGTGTTTTAACGGTGCAAGGATCCTCTGTGCTCAAATAATTCTATTCCCTATTTCAATTCATTCACAATCACTCGATATGTCTTGAGATTTTTACATTTTAAAATTTTCATATGATCCAATGGTTGTAAGTGAATTGGGATAGAAGACATGATTATTTGAGAATAGAGGATTGTTGTAGATTTTAACGAATTACAAGGGAAAGATTTTGAAGGATGGGTTGAATCATTCAAGTGTTTTGACAAAAAACTTGGTGATGGAAATATGTGATACAAACTGTCCCATCTATGCGGAAAGCACAGATGTTTGCTACCAACTTTATTTTCTTTTAAGTCATGATTAAATAATAAATGTCACTTGTCATATAGGTCCTTGGGAGCTTAGCATCTCAAATATCTACTGTGATTCAAGGCAAGGATAAACCAACATACGCACCTAATCGTGATGATGGGGATATGTGCATTGTGCTCAATGCGAAGGATATTTGTGTCACAGGAAGGAAACTTACGGACAAGTTTTATCGCTGGCATACTGGGCAAGTAACCAATTTTCTAGTGCTGACTTCTTATTGCATGAAAATGAAATATTTCTGTATGGTTTTCTTACCCCATTCAAATTTATAATAAAAATGTGTTAAGAATCATAAGACTGTATTTTGGTGCTGTGGAAATCTGCTATGACTTTCTCTTAGCAACTTCTAATACATAGATTGATTTAAAACACGGACTAGTCAAATGCTGAAAAAACATTAGTAGATGACTGTCATAGTATGACATTATTTATGCAGTTAACCAAATGTCCCAACTTTATGTATTTTTTGTGTAATATTTCTATCTTAAAAATGAACTATTTTGGCTCATAGGTACATTGGCCACCTCAAGGAAAGAAGTTTAAAAGATCAGCTGGCAAAGGATCCTACAGAAGCAAGGTTTTAAAAACCGGACCGGTGAACGAACCGGAAAAATGATCGGGTGAACGGGTCACCGGTTCAACCGGTGGGTTGAACCGGATCGAACCGTGACATCATAATGATGTCATAAATAATTTTTTTTTAAATATAAATTAATAATTTAAATATTAAATTTTCGATTTTTTAAAAAAAAATTCTTAAATATTTTTAGTGATATTTTTCTATACTTAAAAAAAAAAAAATTCAATCATAGCCAATCTATATAAAGAGTCGAACTATTATGTATCTACATATAATTTTCAACTGTAAATTATTTTTTATTAACATAGTGTTTGATTAAATGAAAGAATTTTAGATACTAAATGAAATGACAATTTTTCATTGTATCTATCTACACCAACAATTAATTTAGTGCATATAAACAGGGGTTGGAGGAGTTAAATTAATTATTTGGTTTTGGTAGAGAGTTGATTAATCACAACAGTGTGCATCATTTGCCTGAAAGTTGATTACTCCTTCCGTCCCAAAATATTAGTCTCTTATTCCATTTTTCATTGTCCCAAAATATTAGTCCCTCTTCAAAAATCAAGTACAAAAATAATACAAATTTCCTATTTTGTCCTCCTTTTAAATTAATAAACAATATAAAAAGTACAATTATGACATTGATATTCCCAAAAAATGTACTATCAAAAGGATAATTTTGGAAAATTAACTTTTTTCAAATGCAATAATCGTACTACCAAAAAAAGTTGGATTCCCCAAAAGGGACCATTATTTTGGGACGGAGGGAGTAATAATAATTATTTGGTTTTGCCCGAAAGCTTAACATCACAGATTCACAGTGTGCATAATTCCTAAACAGAGCCTTCTTCAAGTGTTTTATTATTATTATTTTTTTTTTATCAAAAGTTGGTTTTGATTTCTAAACAGAGCCTTCTTCTAAACAGAGCCTTTTTCAAGTGTTTTATTATTATTATTTGGTATTGATTTCTAAACAAAGCCTTCTTCTTCTCCTCTCTAAAAAAAAAAAAAACAGAGCATTCTTCAAGTGTAGACCCAAGTGTTTTATTATTATAATTTTTTTTATCAAAAGTTGATTTCTAAACAGAGCCTTCTTCTTCTCCTCTCTAAAAAAAAAGGCAGAGCCTTCTTCAAGTGTAGACAGATCGGAGATTCAAGTGTTGATTTTGATTCAAGTGTAGACCCAAAATTTCTAAAAAATAAAGAAAAAGATCAAAGATCCATCAAAATAATACCTGGGGAGGCAGGAAATTGATTCGTTAATGGCGGAAAAAAATAGAGAAATTGATGTCGTCCTGGAGGCTTGTAACGGTGCGAATCTGTGTGTAATTTGAGAAATTGATTCGTTAATGGCGGAAAAAAATGGAGACAGTTCGGCTGCTCTTAAAAGAGGAAGAGATACCTGTGCTGTGTGAAGAAGTGAAGAAGCCCTAGCCGCTGCTCTCTGAATCTGAAGATCAACAAACAAAAATAAAGCTAGATCAGAAAAAATAAATAAATAAATTATATATATACAAGCAAACCGTCCCCCCACGAATTTCAAATAATAAATAGATTTAAAAAAATAGAAAAACAAGAAAACAGTGCAAGGAACGCAAGTTGATAGGGGTCACCTGAGGCCTTCCATTCATTGCACCTATGTGCAGTAGGACTGAAAGAATCAAAATTGATTTATTTAGGCTTATGTAAGCTTTATTTTTAGGACATCTTAACTTAAGGAGTTATTATGTAATTTTGGTTATTTTGATATTTAATTCTTTCCTTATTTATTCTGTTTTAGTTTATCTATAAATATTGGACCTTTTAGGTATTGAAAGACACGTTTAAAAATTGAGAATACAATCGAGTTGAAAGTATAGACTTTGTTAGTTTTTTAAGCACTATATTTCGGTCTCTTTTTTTCGCCTACCGTTCGACATCACAACAAGTGCATGGTATTCCAAATAAAATCTCAGATATCTTGGTACTCAGGCTTCACAAAACTTTAAAAAATATTAGTATATCATCTTTATGAATATTGCAAATACGCATACATTTATAGTTAGTATATATTCTAGTTGACTACATATCTGCTTCCAGCTACAACACTGTGGTCCTACATATCATTTTCTTAGTAATTTTTCTACTATTAGGATTGTTGTTCTCTTGATAAGTAATATATAATCAAAATAACATCATCAAAATAATAATCACAACAGGTTATGACTAACAAATTAATCTTCAAAATTAACAAATTAACAAATTTCAACAAATTAATCTTCAAAATTATGACTAACAGGTTATGACTAACAAATTAATTTCAACAAATGACTAACAGGTTATGACTAACAAATTATGACTAACAGGTTATGACTAACAAATTAATTTCAACAAATGACTAACAGGTTATGACTAACAAATTATGACTAACAGGTTATGACTAACAAATTAATTTCAACAAATGACTAACAGGTTATGACTAACAAATTATGACTAACAGGTTATGACTAACAAATTAATTTCAACAAATGACTAACAGGTTATGACTAACAAATTATGACTAACAGGTTATGACTAACAAATTAATTTCAACAAATGACTAACAGGTTATGACTAACAAATTATGACTAACAGGTTATGACTAACAAATTAATTTCAACAAATGACTAACAGGTTATGACTAACAAATTATGACTAACAGGTTATGACTAACAAATTAATTTCAACAAATGACTAACAGGTTATGACTAACAAATTATGACTAACAGGTTATGACTAACAAATTAATTTCAACAAATGACTAACAGGTTATGACTAACAAATTATGACTAACAGGTTATGACTAACAAATTAATTTCAACAAATGACTAACAGGTTATGACTAACAAATTATGACTAACAGGTTATGACTAACAAATTAATTTCAACAAATGACTAACAGGTTATGACTAACAAATTATGACTAACAGGTTATGACTAACAAATTAATTTCAACAAATGACTAACAGGTTATGACTAACAAATTATGACTAACAGGTTATGACTAACAAATTAATTTCAACAAATGACTAACAGGTTATGACTAACAAATTATGACTAACAGGTTATGACTAACAAATTAATTTCAACAAATGACTAACAGGTTATGACTAACAAATTAACACCATCATCTTCAACATCAGAAATATATAAAATAATTCCTACACACAGAAAAATTTGTTGAAATTTGTTAACATCATCAAATTAACAGATATCTTCAACATCATCATCTTCAATAATGAACAATGAACAATAATTATGGGAGATCTATATACTCATATTCAGATAAATTTAGAACAATGAACAATAATTAGGGGAGATCTATATACTCATTCAGAAATCTATATATTCATCTTCAATAATGAACAATGAACTAATGAACAATGAACATCATCATCTACACAGAATAAATAAATTTAGAAAAAAAAAACAGATCTATATACTCATGTTCATATATATATATATATATATATAATCAGATATATTTATATAAACAGATATATTTATATATATATATATGTATAATAAATAAATTTAGAAAAAAAAAACACACACACACACAGGTTGAAGAAACAGATCCATACACTCAGTCTCAGATATACAGATCTAAAATAAACAGATCTATATACTCATATATATATATATATGTAAACCCTACATCCAAATCCCTAGAAAGAGAGAGAGATACCAGCGACGGAGGAGCGTCGGACCGTCGGTGAGGGAGGATCGGAGGATCGCCAGCGGTGAGGAGGGAGGCGCGGCGGTGACAGATGAAAGAGAGAGCGAGAGACCAGTGGCGAGCGAGAGAGAGAGGGGAGCGCCGTGTGTGAGTGAGAGGCTCGGTGTGTGAGGGAGAGACCAGTGGCGATGGCGAGCGAGAGAGAGAGAGAGAGGAGCGCCGTGTGAGTGTGAGGCAGAGGCTGTGTGTGTTTGTGTTTGTGTCTGTGTGTGAAACGCTAAACAAATATATATATCCAGGGACAGAACTGTAATTTCACCTCGGGGATTCAGCGGGGCGGGGGCGGGTCTGAAACACCTATCTCCGTCCCCGGCCCGGATACCATCGGGGATGAATTTTTGAATACCATCCCCGGCCCGTAGGGGATATTTTTCAGCGAATAACCACTGAATTCGGGGTCGGTAGGTTGGGTCACCGTCGGACCGGTTTCAGATTGCCATCTCTATATAAAATAGCATCATGTGTTCATAATTTATAATGAAAGGCAATTAAAAACCCCAAAATAAAAGAAAAAGGAAAATGATAATTTGTGATTTACTATTAATATTCTGTATGGCAAACCTGAAATGTGTGACACATTTGAATTAGTATGTAACTAGCGGCACTTTGATGTGATGATTGGTTTGATGCCAAAAAAAGAACATATTTTGTCTGTTTATTTATTGTTGTTTTATTCACTTCTAAAAGCGTTATAAGAGGAATTATGATCTCATGCATTTCCAACTCAATATAGAAAAAATGTTCACACTATAGTAGACTACACTAAAGCTTTAGTGATCTTGGGAGGATGCTGGATATGTAGTGAAGCATAGTGAAGGTACTTTGCAATTGGTTACTGCAAATTAAGATTTGTTAAATGTCAAGGGGAGGAGGCTACTGAAACAAACCTAATTGGAAGTTCTTATATCATTATGCAGGATAGAGATCGAAAGCTGAGAATATTTGCTGGCAATGAGCACCCATTCGGTGACAGGCCTATTGAACCATATGTGATGCCTCCTCGACAAGTACGGGAAATGCGTCCACGTGCCAGACGAGCCATGATTCGAGCTCAGAAGAAGGCTAAGCTACAAA